AGAGACGGGTCCGATGTTATGGATGAGCTCACCGCTGAGTTTAGAAACTTCTCTATACAAACAGAATGTAGACATGGACATAAGTGAAGTAAATTGACATATAACAACATTGAAGTTTCATTCAGGGGATCCATTGACTCTAAAAAGAAGCATTGAGGTAGAAAGGAAAAGGAAGAAAAAACAACAAGAATCATTTGAGACAAAGATGGTTCTTTGAGTTACAGCTTATTCTTGATCCTTCTTCGATTACGGATATTGGAAAAATATGGAAATATCGATATTGTTCCTACTATTTTTAACACGACAAACCGATATTAAAATTGGACTATCGAAACCGATGTTTTCCCTCAAATAAACTCATAAAAAAAAATTTCCATTTCTACAAGGAATGCTGCCTCACTGGTTATCACATAAAAATGAAATGTTTATATAATCTCACAATACTTAAAAAATATGTGTTTAACACATTTTTTTTTCATCTTATGTAAGTAATATTTGTTTATCATTAAAATGAATATATATTCTTTTTGTAAGTTTCAGTCATTATTAATCAAGCGCTGATCAACGCAATTCATTTTTCTCTACTCCTTAGTAATAAGAATTGACAATAATAAACGTTAATATTTGAGTTAGATTTTTGTAAATTATTTAATATTTAAATGAAATGAACTCATAAATATTATTCTGGGGCATTCAGACCCCTAAGAATAATTATAAGGAACAATTTAGTGACATTTGTCTGGCATACAAGTTAATCACCTTCTTGTTGTTAATTAAATTACATTGGTACTGAGTCTTTATATTAAAATAAAGAAAGGCACAAGTTAACATTTGAATTATAGATAGGTGTATAAGAGTGTGTTTACACATAGACAATGGGTATTATGTATGTATCTGTAAGAAGGCAGTAAAATGAGGTGAAGGCTCTAAACGCATAAAAATAATACTCTTACATATGTTCGGAAGATTGATCGCTGAGGAGATGGATGACTAAATGGTGTTTAAATGTGGTTAAGGATGAGGATTTACGTACGGAAGTAGGTAAGGAATTCCAAAACAAGGTAGCGCGTATGAGAAAAGATTTTTTAAGAGAAATAGTTCTATGAGAAGGAATAAACAGGTTTGTGTGCTGGGATCTCGTGTTGAAAGAATGTACAGAGAAGTAAAGAATAAACAGATCAAGAAGGTAAGAAGGTTTTTTTGTTGCAAAGGTTCGGAAAAGGAAACACCTAGGGTATTTATTGGTAATATTGATATACAGGCAATGTATTTATTCTTTTTATAGCTGTGGCGTTTAGCCTTTCAATACAGAATCAGTATATTGTTACATAGATCGGTTCCCTTGTGGGGTGCCCTTTGGGGATCCATCCCCTACCATAAACGTAGCATTTAAAAGCATTTGGATTGATACAAAAACTATAACGTACAACGTGTCTAGCTCATTATTATTCATCAGATGCTGTTAGCACCTTCTATTATTACAAACACTGTACCGCATACATTACGGGTACACATTGTTTCTGTAAAAAAAAAAAGTATTGTATAGTAGATTTAACTTAAGGTTCATAATAGACATTTATTTATTTATTAGTTGTACATATTTGTGGCTCACAATAAATTTACCATCTACCTTAATATTCAGCAAATATGATATCAAGGAGAAGAATAACAAAACAAAAAAAAAAAAAAAAAAAAAGTACTAAAATAACACATACATTATAACATAATAACAAATACACACACAAAAAAGATAATGCAGCAAGTAGTTCAATGCAATAAGTCTCTTGGCCACCGCCTCAGCAGTCTTCTGGACGGATTATATGGATTTGTGGCAGTAGATAGAGCTTGAGTAAGTGGATTGGAATTTAGAGTCAGTCTGTCATGAAAATTATTAAAGCGGTCAGTGGCAGTTGCCGTGATGAATGTAGTGTTAAGATCAGTGTGTAACGTGAGGTTTGAAACGTAAAAGGGTGCGTCTACAATTTTCCGAAGGACTTTTGACTGGAATGACTGAATGATTTTTATATTTGATTTCTTTGCTGTTCCCCATAGTTCGATCCCATATGTCCATAGTGGTTTAATGAGGACTTTGTAAATAGTTAATTTATTAGTCACAGATAATTTAGAACGTCTGTCAAGTAGCCTAGAAAGAAGTCCGTATCGCTGATTAAGTTCTTTTCTTTTTTGTTTTATGTGGTATGTCCATGTCAGTCGTTTGTCCAAGTGGAGACCCAAATATCGTACAGTTTTTGAAGGTGTTAGAGCAATAATATTAAAGAACACTGGAGGACAAAAGTTATGTTTAAGTGTAAATGAAACAAATTGACTCTTAGACTCGTTCATTTTTATTCTCCACCTTTTAGCCCAAAAAGCTATGTCGTCTAGGTGTTCTTGAAGTACCTGAGAAGCCTTTGCTGCATCCTTATTAGATGTTAATATTGCCGAGTCATCAGCAAATGTAGCCAACAGTGTTTCAGAATGTTGTGGGATGTCTGAACAGTAAATGTTGAAAAGTGTTGGACCCAAGACACTGCCTTGAGGTACTCCAGCTTTTATTTGTTTGATGACAGAAAACTCAGTCCCCATTTTCACACGGAAAAATCTATCTTTTAGATATGATAGTAAAATTAAGTAATACGTTGGAGGAATGATCGTTTTTAATTTATGTAACAAACCATCGTGCCATATTCTATCAAAAGCCTGACTCATGTCAAGAAAAACGCCAGGACAGTACAATTTTGATTCTAGCGAGAAAGATATGTAATCTATAAGGCGGTAACATTGCTGAATAGTCGAATGATGCTCTTTGAACCCGTACTGGAAATTTGGAATGACATCAAATAGTCTAAGTGAATTTAAACGGCGAAACAGAATTTTTTAGAATACTTTAGATAGAGAAGGTAGAAGACTAATTGGGCGGTAAGAATCAGGGCGGTCTATAGGCTTATTGGGTTTGTGAATCATAGTTATGATTGAGTATTTCCATAAAATCGCAAAATGTGTCGTTCTAAGAATGGAATTGAATATGTTTGTTAAGAATATAATAGCCTTTTTTGGTAAATTCTTTAGAATAAAGTTAGTAATGAGATCGAACCCTGGAGATTTTCGATTTGGTAAACTATTGCTAATAACGCTAACTTCATTTGGATGAAAAGGTTTAGGTGGGGGGGTCATCTCTAAAGGAATATCTAATTGATGTTCTACCAATTTTGCACAGCGCGAATCTTGCAAATCACAGTGAGGGGTAAATATATTTTCGAAGTGGCATGCGAATAATTCAGCTTTCTGAGCAAGGTCCATAATAGAAATTGGGAATATCGACTGTTTATCGTGATAAGTCATTAATTAAATATAATTTAAATATGGTATGAATGAACTCTTTTCTCCGAGTAACTTTATTTCACAATAAATAAATAAATAAATCACTCAAATTATCTCACCCCCAAAAAAATACCGCACCAGCTAAGTGCCTAGTTTGCCCGTACTTTAATTAAATCGCAATAGCAACTGCACATGAAAAATATTGGAAGGACCAAGCTTACAAGATATACATAATGTAGTCCAGTCATCTATTTATTATCTGTATCACACTACAAGTATTACGTGTATGATTTACTGAACTCCTTTATAAATGACTGTAAAATATTAGAAAGCCAATGAAACATTGGCCCCACTTCAAAAAACATCTTTGGGCAGGAAATGCCTTATAGTCCGTGGTACAAACCTCTTTTTATTAAATTATTAACATCCCTCTAAAACTTAGTAAATAGCTTCATCTAATCGTAACTTACAACTATTTTATTTACGAAAACTCTAAGAATTAGGATGTTTCCAATCTGGAGGTCGGCAAACTATGTCTATTGAATTAGGTGCTAATAACCTGTAAATACCCGTTTGCTTCCCACTTGAATCGTAAGATAATTTGATCACAAAACCGATACAAAAGGTGGCACATAATATTGGGCCGTTTGACCTATATAACCCCGTTATTTTGACAATTTGGGAGTGTGGGTAACGCCAAACGGCTCAATATTCTTGAAGGACGCATTTTTTTATTTTTTTATCTTTTTTTATACTGAAATTATTTTACGATTCAATGGAAAACAAATAGGTATTTACGAGTTTTCAGTACCTAATTAAATAGCCAAAGCTTATCGATCTCCATATTGAAAACGCTCCAATTCCGAGAATTTTCGTAAATAAGATATGTTTAGGTTACGGTGAGATGAAGTTACTTACGAACTAGATAATTCGATAAAAAGCTGTCTGTTCAAGACTATTGCCTCCTCCCCGCTGCCAGCATCTATACTAACGGCACAATTTTCAAACGTGCCAATTCCTTATTAGTTAAATTAGGAGATTTCTCATACAACTCGTCCTCAGCCACCATTGGTGCTGGGGATGCTTTGAATCTCCATTTTTGCTATTTAATTTAGTGTTTTGTTTGGCACATAGAACTCATGTGGATATAATTCTAGAAAATGGTATCAAATCTATTAATGATACCCTCTATGATCATATATTTGTGCTAATTGGGAAAAACTAGATAACCTGAATCATCCTGATTGAAAGTTAATACTGGTGTTAAAATAAGTATATAAGCTAAAAACATTCAATATTTGCTGTTTAAAATAATAAGATATCATTTTTACTTGAATTCACTTATAAGATAAATGGTAGATATCGCTCCCTCACCAAAACAATTTTTTACTCGATATGCGAGGGAGGATGTTTCTGAATTTTGGTGTTGAAGTATTTTCAAGATATATGCAATTTGGTAACGAATAACGTTAATGATATTCAACTATCGCGAATGATTAATAACAAGATAGTTGAAATTCACAGAAGGTCAACAATCACTTTATTTTCTTATACAGGTATGCATCAATGATCTGATGATATGAACCTATCAATTATTATTTAACGCAAAACAGATAAGGAATTTATAAAGGTACTTCTATTGAGGCGAGGAAGCGTGAGTGGGCAGTACAAATATCGAAATGGAGAAGGAATCTAATAATCAGCTACCGAAGTGGGAAAATGGTATGTCAAAATATTAAAAATAAGAAACAAAAATGTATTGATATAAAGCTACCACAGTTTGTTCGATATTATTCTTCATGTCGTCAACTGTATGTTAAAATTATATATTAAAATTCTTTTGCTCTTGATAAACAAATGACAATTCTTTTTTAAAAGCAACGGAAATGACTGGTGTATACAGCGTTAATAACGAATTAATGGATGGTTTCTGCCATTATTTGTAAATAGTGATAATTTTCTACTTAAATTGCTGAAAGTTTTGAAACTAAATTGATTATTATTTTGTTATAAACTTAAAATTGTCGGAACCTGATTTAATCAAAACTTTTTTTATTACCAAGTGAACCAGTAAAGATTGGATCTCTACTATAAGGGTTGCCATTGTTTCTTTACATCGGCATGCCTGACAAGACGTATGTCCAAGCAGGAGCATATTCAGGATTCAATTTTGGGGATTCCAGACCGAGAGCCCTCACCACATGAATCCTCTAGTGTGCCCAGGTGTTCCACATCGTTGCTGAGTGGGAACGTTGTTACTCTTGTTTTACTTGAATAATCGTTCTGAAACAAACGTCCCTTCTAGTTAGGTCGCATGTTTATGTTGTATGAATTTAACCAAAACCTGTGCTTATAACTATTTTAAATGTAAAAAAAAAACAGTGAATATTAAAGTTCTTGTAATGTAGACAGTGTCGGTCTTCCTAGGTCAGCAAAAGACGCGCTTCTGAAAGGGGGCGTCAAAAAATCTTTTTTTTGAAAAGAAATTAAAGGTATTATATCAGCTCAGATTTCTATTTTGTTTTGGTCAGAATATCTATCTACTTAAACACACCAGTTGCATGGTAGGTCAATTATCAACCCGTTTGTTAATTTAAATATCATTATAAGCACAAAGGTTTGATACAGTAGCGTATTTACGCAGAAACAGTTATCTGGGTAGCAATATCTGAATTGAATTTTTAGATTTAACAAATTTGTAAGTATAAAAGTAGCTCAATAGAGCCGAGATTAATATATTTTTTTCCTGTTTTTAGGACTTTTTCTGTAGTTGATTAAGTACCTCAATTTGTACGAAAATGTTCATACTTTATAAATAAAATAACATCAAATTCTTCGTCGATTGAACAACTAAGATTATAATTATGTAGAGATGGTTGACCGTGATATAATATGAGAAGGAGTTGGTCGGGAGGTGCGGTCGAATAAATATTAAATTTTTAAAAACTTTTTTTTTGTATAAACATTTTTTTATTGAGAAAAAAATACATTTTGCCTCAATCAAGGGCATTGAGTATTTACGATGTGAGAAACCCATTCATACAATATATACAATTACAAAAATAATAGAAATTACAACAAAAATAAGAAAAGAAAGCTTAATAAAACAGATAAAATAAAATATTAAACAACGCAAATTAAAAAAAAAATAAATAAATAAGAAAACAAAAATAAAATAAAATATATAACATTCATGCTTATTTACATTTAAAAACTAGTATTTTTAATTGTTACGACGACGTTTCGATCCACTTTGCAAGTCATCATCAGGGTATGGCATCAGACACTGCAAGAAGCAGTTGAAACAGATAAATTTTCTGATATCACCGCGGTCTTATTAATAGTTAATTCGAGGCGGAGTGGTAGATCTGTTGAAATCAATAGATAGTTTAGTCAGTTGGAATAGTGTGAGGTACTTGTAAAGGGTAACAACCAGGAACATTATATTCTCTGACGGCATATTAGTTTCAACTGAAACCCAAGTGATGGATCTGTCCGCCGGTTCTTCTTGAAGGAAGAATGATGCAGTCGATCTTTTTAGCTTTGACTAAATGTTTAGTCCTTCCAGTTTCTTGATGTTTTTTTCTCAAGCTCACTCCAGCTGCCTCAGAGTTCCATAGTATACGTTTTCCTCCCATATATTGCTGAGCATAAGTTGTTTTTACGTATGTACTTCCTTAAACAATTTTGTGTGCGTATACTCATTAAAAATTTCCGAAAAAAAACAAGCTCCTGACTTTTAGTTCTCTTATTTTCCCATAAATTTATTTTTTAACAACTTGATAACTGCTCGGAAACGGTTCATTAATGTAATGACTAACGTCTGTCAAAGCTCATGTTGATGCACATAATGAATCATTTGATGATATAGTCTATTTTAATTTTATCATAAACATGAAGAGTTATCGATATAACATTAATTTTAACTGTTATTGACTGACTAGTGCAGTGTCGAGAACGAAACTAGTTCATTTCAATGTTGAAATAAATGAATTGCCAAGTTATCTACAGAAATAGCGATCTAATAGCAAACAGAAATGAAGACTGCGCGGATAATGTGTTTGTTTATTAGTACATAAAATGTATATTATAAAAATAATATAATACGAAAAAGTTTGGTTATAACGCTTGTTGTCATCTTCGCTAGGCTATTGCATTACGCCTTGAAAGTCTTAATCCGAATGTAAATTTTTCACGTATTTTCATTAAATTTAATTATTACAAATTATTTTTTAGATTCTTGGAACTACTAACTACTATCTCTGGTGTTAAAATATTCATAATGTATTGCTTGAATTAGTTGGTAACTGGTCTATCGGTTAATGTAGTTTATTATTAACGGCAAATTCAGTTACTATTCATAGCTAACAGTTTAATTGAGCATGATACGGCTGAATGCTTTTTTTTTTATGGTTAGCTTTTTTAAATCACCTTTACCTTGAGGTCTTCATATAGCCTATGGACCATTGCCTCGATCATTACCATTCTTTCGACAAGTTCTTCTGAAGCATGAGAGCTCTTAAATTTCATAGGATAAGAGTCTTCGGCAAACGTAAGTGGAATCGCCAATAAAGAAATTAATGCCTTATATTCATTATTTCGGTCTCAAACAAATTATGAAACAATTATCACTCTGAATTCAATGTTTTCCTCGTGTCGTGTTAGCATATTACAGTTATAACCCTGTTACCTGTATTTATTTGCTTACCTGTTATGAAATTTGAGTGATTTATGCATTACTTTTTATTGTTTCAGGCTGGGGAGCTCGACACACACAGATTTTGCTTTACTTTGCCTGCATCTCGGTGGTCTATACGTTGAGGTTGAATCTTACATTGGCTGTAGTTGCAATGACAACTTCAACCTACAAGGTAAAATAATTATTAACAATTTTAAATGCCTTTAGTTCACAAGAAAAGACATGAAGTGATTTACAACACATAAATTTATTTGTTATCTACATTTTTCCAGTTTAGTCCGATAACCGTTTTAGATAATTTTGTGACTAGGTGGATGAGCAGCCTCTGCCTCACTTTCGGTAACCAGTAATTTAAAGATCAGTAGAATTCAATAAAAAATGGTTTATAAAAAATGGCACAAATCGAATGTTAATAACTAAATTTCCATAGTGAAGGCAATTAAGGAGGTGTGCTTAAAATTTAAAAGTTTTCAATGAAATGTTAGAGATTTAGTTAAATTGTTTTTACGATTGACTCTAATTATTATAATAAAATTATTAAGATAAGAAGTATCGTGAAATATAATGTGAAATCACCTTAACCACATCTTTTCTCATAAAAGAATTGTGTATATGAGAAAAAGTGGCGTTATAAGTACACCAATCAAATGCAATTTGTCGTATTCTTTATGCAATAGACGATAATAATAATTTATAACCTCAAGGCAGAGTCAGAATGGGTGAAACAAATAAACAAAAATTAGTGTAAAATTGTGTAATGAGTGTCGGTTTCCATAGTTCTATTTAGGGTCATAATAGATATAATCTGTTTAATTTAATTTTCATTAGCTAGAGCTAAATTATTAGAGGCAATATTCAGTAAGTTTCATTTTATTTATTGTTGTATATTTCTTTGCAGATATTTATTTTATGTCGACACCTCACGCATTAAAATATTTAGTCTTCAAATCGTAAAATCTGTCCCTTGGTAATAGGCCATTAAAATGTCTAGTCCTAATACTAGAAATATTTTAAGCCTATCAGTTTGAACTAAGTGAGATGAATGCTCGCCGATTCTGTTTAACTTAGCGGTAGAGAAGATGCTAAGAACAATAACGCGTGAAGATAGAGGGGTAGGTGCACACCGGAATAAATCATAGAATTCTTTGCTATGCAGGCGATATAGCTGTCTTTGGAGGTAATCAAGAAAACATTGAAATCGGCTGACAAGAGAATGAAGATAAACAAAATATATAAAAATAAGGCGAAAATTCCAATCCAACAACAGAATCTGCTTAGAAGGAAAATCGTTTCCAAGAGCGAGCAAATTCAAATAACTCGGTCCTGCAATAACCTCAGCGAATGACAGTCCGAAAAAGAACAGATCAACCTTGAAAAATCTCTATTGACATGGCTGCGAGCCTACTCTCCTAACGAGCATCCTAGGAAGAAGTATTGAATGTTTTGAGAGAAAACAATCCTCAGTAATCGGAGCTATCTGGGATCGGAGTAGTAATGTATAGAGAAGAAGGACCAATAAAGGACAACTTATAGGAACTGGCCAATCAATATCTTATGATAAGAAGGCAAGGAAGTTAAGAATGGCGATGTATGTAGCTCGGAACCAGGACGTAAGAGAGCCGTGGTAGCGGCCAGGATTACAAGATTTTATTTTTAACTTCTGAATTTAAATAAAAATATACGTATAACTCATTATATTTATTAAATACAAACATATTTAACACAATACACTATGTTATATAGTACTTATATAATATTTTTGTTTCATTCTTTAGAATAGGTTCGATGAAGAATTTGGAAATAAATAGCGTACTGACAAGAAAACACCTTAGGAAAATAATGCAAATAAAAACTACTTACTTACATCTCATGAAGTGGCGCTTTACCACTAATCCATTTAAAAATAGCTTTATTTTTGCACGGAAAGAGGCCACGAGATTAGATATACTTTTAAAATATTCAATTGCGAATAAAGTATTTTTTAAATATTTCTTGTGTACATTTTTACTAGTTGTTTTGCTTATACAGTTGTAAATTTCATTAAATAAATAACAAAAAGAAATATATTATTTCTGGACGATTTATAATAAAAACGACACTTTATCAAACTAGTTTATTTTAAATATTCTGTAAGGTATTTCATAAATTGAATCCTTACTTTTTTCTTCGCTGAATAGCACTTGAATATATTATTATAGAATAAAAGGCACGTTTTGCAACAAAATATGCTTTTCTGCCATGCCCTATGATACGTGCTCATGGAGTCCTGTATATTTTAAAAAATCATAAATAAATTTTATGACTAAAGACGGTATTAAAAACTTGATACTTTCGACCTTAAAAAAAATGTTAACTTCGATTTTCATGGTGGATAATTCTTGTCCAAAACATTAGCCTTTTTTTACAGTACTTAAATAAAACGTATTCAATTCGATTGTGTAAGCAACAAGATCTCGTGAAGCCAGCATAATTATCTTCTTCCAACCTCAAAATGTCTTCAGGCAGCACAAGGAAAAAGCAGAAATGGATATATTGTGATCTGTATGATAAAATTATTGGAGGGTGTGGGAAAAATCGGTAATTCATTTTTGTATTCAAGATATAAAATAATTTTGTTTATATTCGTATCTTGGTAAGAGAATACAAATAGATTTTGTATTATGTATTTTAAAATAAAATACAGTTAAAAAGAATGTATTTTAGAATTCATTTATTAAAATACAACAATTTTTTTAAAAAAAATTAAGTTATTTCCTTTGAAATACTGCTCAGGTCTGGATACTGATATGGAGATAGTGAATATTTCTTTATTTGACTTTAAACGGTAAAACTTGACATATATTGTTGAAAACAAATCATTCATCTATAAAATTAAAATTCTCGTGTATCAATTTTCTTCCCTTTGCTATTTTAGAAGTGAAAACTTCTTTAGGAAAGTTTTGCATTGATTTTGTGGAGAGTGAATTAGATTGAGCCGTCAGATCTCCGGTGTGTAACGCTCAGGTAAAGTCGGCTGGAGTCGATAAATGAATTTTTTTTGGATTTGGATTAAAATATCTCAAAAACCAAAAATCGGATCTGCATATTGTTAGGGAGGGAAATGTTCATCCTTTTTGTAATGAGTTATAATTCAAAATTTTATATTTACGCGACGCCGTATTAGAGAGGCGAAAAGAGAAAAAGTAGTGTCGAAAAATTATAACGAATTTATGAAAGATATGGATTAAAATATCTCAGAAACTAAAAATCGGACCTGCATACTGTAAGCTAGGGAAATGTTCAGCATTCCATCCTCTTTATAATGAGCTATTATTTATAATTTATATTATTAATTATCATATTATTAATCTCGCTTTGTTGATGTTTTCACTTCTATCTTACCTTAGTTTTTTATTTATTTATCACACAATTTCTCTCACCAATCCAAAACCGGCGGTAAAGGCAAATGTCCAGTTTTCCCATAGTCCACTTTCGGGCTGAAGCTCTCCCCCCCCCCCCAAATGGCAAAATATAATCATGTTTTATCGAAAAAAATATAAAAAAAGTATCTCTTAAAGTATTATTGTTCCTGTAATTAATATTAAAAGAACTTTAGGAATCACTTAAACACCATTTCATACAGCTAGTTAGTTTCTTTCCTTTTTTCCAAAGTAATTATCGTTATTTTTATGAAAAAAAAGCATTCGGGCTGAATCCCTCCCCCCCCAAAATTAAATCCTGGATCCGCTAGTGCCATAGATTACTCATGGACCTCCAATCACTGTTTTGGTTCTTCACATCTAAATAGAGCGTTGAAAGCCCCTCTCGAACAGATTAATTTTTTCATTGATCCATATCTTTTTCATATGAATGATTAAACCCAAATACGTACATAATCATATTCTCTTTAGAATACACAGACAGCTACTAAATGTAAGTGCATGTCAGCAAAAATGTATCTCTAAAATGTTTACTGTAATTAGATTTTTTTTTTTTTAAATAGCCCTGCAAGGACTACTTAAACATCATTCCATGTATATAATTTCTTTCTTACATATATTTAAAAAAAATAATAAAATAAACACCAAAATTAAATCCTGGATCATCTACTGTTTCCAATAAAGAAGGTTTAATGAGAAAGTGCAGTGCTGATAGTAAAATTAATAGGTAGCAGAACTTTGGAAGTTCGACCAACACAGAAGATAAATTATAAAGTTGATAATTTTTTTTAATTCGACGTTTCGGCCCTAAGATCAGGCCTTCTTCAGGGCTGGTCAAACGAGAGGTTTCCGCAAGACCAATATTTAATTCTGTATACTGTCCGAATTATAAATATATCACGAGTTTAATAGCAAAGCTTTAAGAAATAAATAAAAACAAAATCTTTTTTATTATTACATACATGTAATGTTATATATTTATATTTTATTATAATATGGTAATGAATATAAATATATAACTACCTACCTATCAAATAGGTAATAAATTATACAATATCTGAATCAATGTAACGTTTACAATACAAACTACAAGATATGGATTTTAAACTAGCTATGTTTATCAACTGCAAATATTTTTGCAATGTTTATTTTATATGAAATAAAATAACACTTCGGCAAGCTAAAGATTTTCATTAAAAAAAAAAGTTATAATTATTGCGAAACCATTTGTTATCCATTGATCATACCTGGTTTGATAAATAATTATAATGTTCGATGACATTATACTTTTAAAATTTATACACCAAAGAGAATTAATTGGCAATCCATATAAATGTAAGGACTAATACACCAATCTAATTGAAATTGAAATATAAGAAGCATCGGCTGAAATTAACTCCAGTCTCTGGTGAAGTATGCATTTAAATAAATAACATTTTATGTAAGGAAGATCACTACATCATGTCGATGACGATAATATAATGGAATGTAAATCGACATTTTTCCATTAAATCGACTATTACAATTTTGAATGTCCTTTACATTTCTGAAATGTGTTTTTATATAGAAGTCAATTTCTGGCAAGGCACGTCGACTTTAAGAAATACATAGTTAGTCACCTATAATATCACCTGTCACGCAATGATATTTACGAAAGCCAGATTAAATGATTAAGAGTGAATTAAGAAAAAATGGACCTTAAACTGTTGTAATGTTTAAACTATTACTTGTTGTTAAAACTCTTCTGGACATT